CTCCAACAGTGGCTACATTTTTTTTTTTTAATACTTGCCTCATGTCATCTGAGGTGAACAGAGCACAGCATAGAAATCTATTGAGGTAAACACACCAACATGTTAGACGGGTAAGAGACTGTTCCCTGTATTCCTGACTACTATGAGACTATGAGGCCTGACAGCCACGTATGGCTGAGCTGGTGGGAACAACTGAGGGAAAGGTCCTTTGGGTCAACAAGGTTGCATGTTCATTGTTTTTTTTGTTTTTTTTCCCCCACGTGCTTGCTGCAAGCTGCAGCGGAGGCAACAAGGAGTACACACCTACACCTAATCAATGTTAAAGGTGCTTTGAATGTCTGAGGTTTGGAGACAATACATTCATACTGCAGTAGAGGCACAGCTGAGGACAGATAGACATCTGTAGTGGTGGTTCCAAAGTTAGCAATCTAAGGCACTCAAATGACACTATGGCACAGTTAGTTTAAATTGGAAAAAAAAGAATCACAATCACCACACACCACCACTCAAAGTTGCACATCCACAAAAGGTATTCACAGTTGCAACAAAAATCGAAAAAATATCAGACGTATGAGTAAAAAATAAGATGTGAGCGGCCCAAGCCAAAGGTCACTGTCTTTACAAATGCTAGCGTGGGGAGGACTGACATTGCTACTCGTCTATATACATTGCACACACTGACTGCAGAAGAACACTTGAGCTGAAAGCCACTGTGTCCCAAAAGGCTCCAAAAGCCACTTTAGAGTCACCTTGTATAGAGAGTGATGCTGGTCCTCATGGCGTTTGGACTGGACTCATATCTCCTGTAGAGGGTGGCTCATTTCGATCCTCTCTCTCTTTACAGCTGGCTCCGTGGGGCCCCTGGATGCATCCGCATCGCTGCCCAGGTCGCTCATCTCATCAGAAAAGGATGTGTCTAGTAGTCGAGGGAGGGAGAGAGGGACTATTAAATTAGAAATAGTTCGGTTTGATTGTACTAGTGACAGTAAAACCCAAGTCAAAATGCAGAAAATATAGGACAAGGACAGAGCTACAGCTGGTTTAAAGCTCCAGTAAACCGTTTCCCCCACAACGGAGGTCAAAACAACAATTTATATAAGCATAAAGTATCTTAAAAAAAAAAAGATCCCCACTTTAAAATCAGTGCAGCAGAACCAGAGATCTCTTCTGTATTCCATGCATGCTTCAACCTTGTCAAAACCTTGCACATAGATTACCCACAATGCAACTTTACTACTGCCGGTTCTGCTAGGTGTGTTATGCTGGTAGCAGCTACTGTAGCCTCAAGCACAGATGAGGAGCAGAATGCGGGTTTACTAAGGTCACTCGTTTCCGATGTCGCACCCTCAAATTTCTGTCATTTTCAGACCCAACCAACAAACTGCCTCAAGTGACATCACTTGAGGCAGTTTAATTGATTAGTCAGTTGACAGAAAACTGGCAACTGTTTTGATAATCACTGTAGTTATATTTGTTCAAGCAAAAATGAATCAACAATGAAAATAATCATTCATTATGGCCCTACTTTAAACAACTTTATTCCTATGTGCCGTAGTACTCCCCGAGACCCAGACTTTGACATGTAAAAGTCGATGGGCTTTTCTTTTAACAGCAGCAGCATACACAACAGGTTTTAGGAACAAGACGGTGTTTTCTTCTCAACACAGACCCAAACCTACAATGTGTTAGTCCACCTCCCAGTGCACCTTGGCTTCCCTGTCTGTCACTGTCAGCTAAAAACCTCCTGGCTGCTCCTGAAGACAAATCTTTGAAAATGGGTCTGAAAAATACAGTTTTTTTTTGTTTTTTTTTAAATCTTCAGTAGTTTCTGAAACTAGCTGGGCACTGTAGTTTTCAATAAGCATTACTGAAATGGCAGAAAACGGTGCGCATGTCTAGGACTATTTTTAGCAGCATATTAATACCCATTTGTTATTCTAGGTGAGTGTTCAGTGCAGCAGGATGGTGTTTGTGGGACTGAGACAAGATAAACTACAGTGCCCATGTTCACTGTAATAAAGGAACTCAGTGATGTGTGTTCGTAGTTTTGGACAGAATCGGCTCTAAGGCACAGGGGAATTAAATAGATTAGGCTTTGGATACACAAGCAAGAGATTCAGCAGGCACTAGTGGGCTTGTAGCCGAGGAAGTCCGAGTACTGAGAGATGGACTAACACACTGATGTTACATATTGGTCTCATGGAAGAAAATAACGCCTGCCTTGACCTTGGGTCTGTCTTTTCTCCATTTGGTGTGGCACTGCCGTTAACATGCTTTGTGTGAAATCACTGGAATCTACACTGAGAGAATAACTGTGTACTTTAGATTTATAATTAATATCTTTTTGAAAAATCAGCTAGGATGTAACCAGATAAACAGAACTAGAACTATAATATCACAGACTTACCTTTTTCCATTAATGATGGCATCATAGAGCTCAGATCACTGAACTGTAATGCAAGAGAAGATGGAGCATTCATCAACACAACTATTTATCATCTTCACTGTTGTCAAGTCAGTGTTTCGAGCAATCGCAGCTGTTTCAAATATCTTACTTACCTCTCCCATTACAGCAATAGGAGTTTCTCCTGTGGCCTGAGCCACACGGTGCTCTACCAGGTAAAACATGTACTCATCATAAAGAAGACGGATCAGGTGGAAAGAGCCAAAGCTAGCCGCACTGCGCAGAGTCAGGTCTCTGATCACCATGGAGCTGCAGGAAGCAGAGGAAGAGAGAGCGACAGACAAAAACCTTGCGTCATACTGAACTTTACACACCAATTTTAAAACAACTAATAGTCTCAAGTGTTTCACCACTACCTGTAAAAAGACCATTTGAGCAGGAACTGGCGTGCAGCTTTGGGGAAGCTCGGGCTGCCTTGGTGGGGTTTCAGCACCTGAGACACCACGTTGTCGAGCCAGGTAGCCCACTGGTCCAGGGAGCTCTGCTGTTGCAGGGTGACTTTAAAGTCCTGCTCCAGACGCTGAACCACACTCTCGTCACACTGACACACCCATGATGCCTGCTCCTGTTAGACACAACAATCACACCCAACCATCACATTCAACAAGAACTAGAACACAGTGAGAGATGGAACACGCAACGTGGACAGAGACGTGGCCTTGTGCAACATGAACACAAACGCAAATGAAGCTTGGACTTTAGATGCACTGGGAAGCTGACCAACAAGCTTACCTGGACGTTAGCAAAGTCCACCCGGTTAAGGTCAGAGAGCATCTGGTTGATCTGGGAGGTGTTTTGAAGGACGGCACGGGCTGCCTGGGCCAGGTGGTTCAGACTGGTGTAACGTCTCAGAGTCTGGGCAAATGCACTGACCACTGCAACCTACAGCACACAGAACCAAGGAAGACACAGTGGTGTGTTCACTTTTTAATTAAATTTGACTGAACTCAGACTGTAAACTGTTGTAAACTGTTGGTTACATAACTAGAAAAGAATAAGAAGCTGTAAACACTAGAAATAACTTTCAAATAGTAAAGAAAGGCTAAGAATATACCAAAAATTAGCACAATATCTAAATAAGGGTGTTCCTAAATGAGTATTCGCTCTTGTCTGATGAATAAGATACTACTGTGTTAGCAAAGAGTTACTACTGTCCAACAGCAGAGCAGGAGAGGACAGTGGGGAGTTACACCTGGTGTCAGTCTCACTGGTATGTTCATTTATAATTGTGGGAAATATTCAATTGTATGGATTATTTTTCTAATAAAAGACCAATTATCGTCAGTCTCCTCGTGTTCTTCTGAGCGGCAGTGAGGTAAGCCTCTATAAGCATCAACACATAAATTTGATCAGGAATCAAAATCTGTGCATTTAAAATACAGTGGTGATCATCATGTTGTGACCCATGAAAGCCTGAAACAGCAAAAAAAATAAAAAATTACTGTATAAACATTTCTATTTCTCTTTATTATTTATCACATTACTTTAAACCCTTTTGTCCATACCAGGATCCTGTTAAGAATGAACACTCAGTCTGATCTGATCCTATGAACTTGATCTGCTCCGGAGCAGGTTAGCTTGCAGCGTAAGTTACCATGGGGATCTAGCCCAACTAAAAGTGAGTCAGGCCCCCTGGTCAGCTCTCCATGGATCTGTATACATCTGGCACCGACTTTGTATCCTATGACTCTGGATAGAGCAAAAACCTCTATATGCACTGAAGAACTGAACTGAATCACCTCAGACAAATGTGCCCTGTTAACACATTTTAAAATCACTGCATTTATTCAGTTCCCTATCTTTCACCTGCATACATTCAAATTAACTTGATGCACAGATCAGATCAAGTGCACCAAAACAACTTTATATGAGAATATTAAACCCAGGCCTGTTGAAATACTCTGGCTCGTACAGCAGTCACATTTAAAAGTTAATATAAAACTCTGAAGCTACAGAGAAAGTGATTTAAAAGTCTGAACATATTTCCTCAAGGACATAAGGCACATATTTAAATGTCATCACTGGAAAGGGGATCAGAGCTGTTCTTGTTACCTTGGTGCGGACAATCTCTTGAGGAAAACTGGTCATAGCGTTGGTCAGCCAGCTCTCCAGACTCTTGGCAAAGTTACGGATGGCCTGAGTGAGAGTGCCTGAAGAAACAGTCTTGATTACAAACGACTTTTCTACGTCACTACTACACATGAAGCATCCTACTGTGAGTAAGGAGGAGTAAATGCAGCAAAGTGCAGCTGAGAAGGTTCAAATGTTTCTGTTGCGGAATCAGAACCAGTTTAATACAGTGGAGGGTGCAAAAACGCAACATTGTGGACACTGACAATTTGATTTCCCTGAGATGGTATTGCTACATAAGTGTGTACTTAGCCAAGACGAGGGTTGTGAAATTGATCTCATCTTACAGTTTGTCCTATAGAGCTGAGACAATTACATCATTTTTAAGCAAAAATGGCACAAAAAACCCACTGGTTATGGCTTTTTCAAATTTTTTATAAAATATTTTAGAATTTCTTTCATCTTCTGTGACTGTAAACCAGAAAATTTTGGATCAGAGAAAAATCATTTACTAATTTAAACTCATTTTAATAGATTAACTTGTTTCACCATTTTCTGATATTTTATAGACTGAACAATTAAAAATAAATGAGTGATGCAGGAAATAATAAAATAACAGCTGCTGTCCAATGTTTTCTCTACCTCATAAAAAAATCATGAAAATAAAAACTGTTGTACTGACTGGGTACAGGACGCAGGACATCTGGGATGAGGATCTCAACCAGTGCCTGGTAGAGGATGTGATCACAGCTCCTCATCCACAGTCTCACGGGTTCATATTTACACAGAGCCAGCAGCTTCTCTCTGGGGATCACACCTTCCAGGTCATCATCACTGCAAACACAAAACATACAGCTAAACTGTAAATGCTGACAACATGCATTAAAAAAAAAGTCAGCTAAAAACATTTCTGACTTGACACACCATTAGAAATTCAAAACTTTATTCAGCAAAGACTGGAGGGAAATTTAATTCTAAAGAGTAACTTCTGAACACTGGCTCTTCCTGGATGCATGATCTGACCTGTTGGGGATGGCTGTGCTTCCGTCACTAGATGGCGGTGCTGAATACCAAAAGGTCTGCCAGAGTTTCTCAATATAGTGAAACTGGAGGTTCATCACTACATCCAAAGTAGCCTGCAGGACAGCAGCGAGGGAGAGAGGAGGGAAAAGACAGGGAGGACGGGGGGGAGAAAACACACAGCTGAACCATGGCAACCAGACACACAACAAAGTTTCTACAGGCAGGCAGCCTCTCTCTCTCACTCTGGGTCCTCCTACTTAGACAGTGAGACAGTTAAAAAACAGCCCCCTGCACATTAATCAACATGAAGGTCTGAAAGGCCAGGGTTAGGCTTCATATGGAGTTTTAAAAAATTGATTTAACTTTTAAATCCTGGCCATCCTTTATGAAACAGATTAGTCTCGTAGATTTATACATGCATTGCCTCTTTTTAGTGACGAGGCACTGACCTAAACTAACTGTGCGGCTTCCTCTTTCCTGTTCATATGTATGAGGCTCTTTGAAAGCCGAGTGCGCTGCACAAAAGGGAACACTGCAAGAAGGCAGAGGAAGCGGGGGCAAGCTAATAATCAAATATGATAAGCTACAGTTGGACGGCTTTATGGTGAGAGCAAATGCTGTAGCCTGGTTCCAAAGTCACACACATATTAAAGAAAAACAAAAACTAGCCCTGCAGAAGTTGTCAATTGACCATTAATCACCCAGAGAAACGGTAAGCCCAACTCAAGGTGAACCAGAGGTCAAAATCTGTTTTTGGTCTCAGATAGTCCAATGTCTCTCTGCACTGGTTGTACATTGAGCATATGTATACTGGGTATAAGTGTGATTCACACAATGCCCAGAAAGACACGCACTTGCTGCTGGATCTTGTTACACTGCAGTGTATGCTTCAATCACATGATATGTTTTTGCTTCCTCTCTAGCCATCACCATGGCAACCTTGTTTATGGTTGCCCCCAGCAACTGGTCAAACACAGAACTCCAAAACAAAAAGGAGAATTCCCCATCCCCTCTAAACAAGAGTGTTTTGCCTCCACAGTTTTTCCAGCACACAGGAAAAACAGAATGCCTTCAAAATACAAAGTGTGGAGGAGAACTAGCACGTGCTCACACACAGGGTCACAGACAGACGAGAGGCCTGCAGCAGCAATTCCAAAATCTTAACCCCTCACTTCTATGCACACGCACACACAAATACTGTGGTTTACAGTGTGATTTACTACCCTCTGTGTTTTATTAAATCCCTATTTATTTGCACAAAAACATTAAATGGCACAGCTGATGTTACCATGACATTAATAAACCCAAGCAGTGAACAAATATGTTTACAACCCTGCTTAAAAAACTAAATAAGAAACTAAATATTTTTTGATTAGGCCAACTTATTCTCTTTATTTGTGCTGTAACTTTAAATGCTGTCAACAAAAGTACGGGTAATGTATTTAAAGGTCAAAGGCTCACAAAAAAGTGTGTGTGTGTGTGTGTGTGTGTGTGTTGGGGGGGGGGGGGGGGGGGGGGGGACTGGTGTGTATGTGTGTGTACGTGTTGGTGGTTGTTTGTGTGTCAATTGGCTTTCAAAAGGATGACTACAAAAGAGGCTCAAAAAAGAGTGTGTGTGTGTGTGTGTGTGTGTGTGTGGGGGGGGGGTGGTAGTGAAATGCATTACCATTAAACACACAGAGGCAATGAAAGCTAGAAGAGTGACAGAAATGCGCTGCCAGACAAAGGTGGGAGCCCATGTGCCAGTCCACAGACAATGCAACACAAAGGCCCAAGGGGAGGCCACCACAAAGACACCAAGATGTCCACCCAGCATGCTGAAAGGTTAATTGGCATGTCTTGAAAGCTACACAGAGATGAAAAGACAGCTGGAACAAAGACAGTGTGGTGATGCTGGACAAGGGGAGGGCAGGGATAATATGATAAAGCCAGAGCTTCACTGCTTTAATCACAGCCTCTCCTGCCTGCAAAACCCCCAAATTTTAGCGTTCAGGATAATTTCTACTCTTCTCATGGCCAATGTGCTTCATCTCTGGGGGAAAAAAACGACTTTGAAACCAATAAAATGTCATTACACTGTATCTCCATAGGTCTTTCTTCTGACAGTCTCCTGAAAGAGTTCTACGTGCCAAAGTTTTGCAGGGTTCCAGCTCCAGTTTTATGACCCAAACGACCAATGATCTGTCTCCCAAATGCTTAGATGGAGTTCTGGCATGTCGGAAATCTGGTTGGCTGTGTTATAGGGCCACAGTCCAAAGCTAGTTCAGTGCACAACATGGCATAGACAAGATATCATATTTTGCAGACAGAATCAACTGAAACGAGGCCAGGGACTGGATATAAGATATTTATAAACTATATATGAATGAGGCTAATCGAGCTTTGGCAGCACCACACTGTGCAATGTGTCATCAAAACATTGTGATCTGCAGCAACAGAAGAAATACTGACAGCAGATTATAGCTATTCATTAGCTGTACAAAGTAAAATGGCTAAAGGTGACACGGGTTTTCCTTTGGTTGACCTAAACTTTATTGGTGTTGTCAATGAAAATATCTGCTCCAGGGTTCTGTTTAAACATCCAGTGTGAGCATCCACATCAAGCCAGACTGAGTGAACGTACAGTGCAAGCAGTAAAGTCGTGGATTCTATCCATGTGGTTGGGCTGATTTAAATGTACAGTGCGAGATAAGACATGGAATATGATTAATAAAGTTTGTACAGTGTCCGCTTGGCTTTATTTTTTACCTGTCCGTAGCCCATTTGTGTCTATTCAAAATAAATCTATAAAAATGTGCCTCAAATATGTGGTTTGACCTTCAAAGGACTCCATGCTTTTCTAAAACAACTGCAGTATATCAGTAGAGTTGTTTTTGGCGGCCTGTTTTCATTTTAGTTTTAGTCTAGTCTTTGTGTGAAGCTGTCATTTTAGTTTTTATTAGTTTTAGTCACATTTATACTCTTTTTAGTCTAGTCTAGTTTTAGTCGACGAAAACTGATGACATTTAGTCTAGCTTTAGTCAGTGAAAATTGTATTTTAGTCTCTTTTTAGTAATGCAATTCTATTTAACCCAGTCAATATAGTATAAGTACCTAGTAGTATAGATGAAACCAAACGTTTCTTTTAGTCAAACCCATTTCAAACAAGGTTATCTTATTATATTATTGTTAACTTATAGACTCAAGAATACATCCAATACACATTTTGTGTGATTTTGTGGCCACATTTCTCCCCATCTTTTTCCACAACAAATTCCGTTTTCTTTTCCACTTCTATGTAATTAAAGTTTTTCCAAATGTCGTTTCTCCTTTTTCTCCCAACAGACCCTGGCTGGCCGGCCATCAGCCCCTTTCTCTGTCTGTGTCAGACAGACTTAACTTTGTTTGTTGTCGTCTTCTAAATAATGTCGCAAGTGGGGCTTAAGGAAGTGGCATTGCCTGCGTCTGCGCAGTGCAACCTGATGCAGCCCCTGAAGCAAGACACAGGAAACAGAAATACTGCAAAATAATAATAATAACGCGACTGAACGAGACAAAATAACATAACATTTCATTTCGTTTTAGTCAACGAAAATGAAGAGACATTTTGGCAGTTTTTATTTTGTGAACCACAATTAGTCTCGTTTTTTTCATCAACAATATTGCATTATATATTTAATTATAGTCATCGTCACACGACCAGCATTTTCGTTGCATGTCGTCTCGTTTTCGTCACGCGATAAACGTTCGTTGGCGACGATATTTAGTCATAATTTTCATTGATGAAAGCAACTATATATATCAGGCTTTGTATATACAGACAATACTTGTTAGTAGGATCAATACATTGTTGGCTTGTTCTTTTCATGGGATTTGGTGATAATATTCATGCCTACTCAGATAATGTGCAAAGGATAGTGGAATGGCTTTGATGAAGCAATCGAGCAAAGCAAAAATACAAATCACTTTAAACAGATGGATAAATAAATGGTGATAAGGTTGAGGAAGTGGCACGGTTTCACTCAGGACTGTGACGCTCATGGCTGATGACTTAATGTAGGATGGTTATGATTATGTGTAGAGAGGATGTTGTTGTGTTGCTGGTGTGTGGGCACTTGTATGATGACTGTATATTGAAATGACACTTGTAAATAAGATAAAATATTAAGGTTGAAAGATAAATGCGTATAGAACCATGTAAGCGTATAACTCCCCATACTCCTTTTCAATATGAGAGAATTACTTGCATCTCGAAAAGCAGCATACATGTCAGTTCCATTATAATTTAATTTGTGGTATAAATAGTATTGATCAATGTCAGTGTCCTTATTTCCACCCTGTTTACATATTGTAGCATACTTTACTGTGACAGGCAGTAATTATAGTTTTCCCTGAATAACAAGCTCACATGCCACTTACACAAGTGATTTTTATGAAAAAGATAAATTATTAAAGCCAACATCTACAAATTGAGTGTTTTTAACTTTTGATCAGTTTGAACAAATGAACACTTCACAGCTGTTCCAGTTAACATTCACACAGTGACACAGGGTGAATGTAATGAAAGAACAACTATTCATGAAGGTTTTCTGTCAAAATGCATTTCCCTAATGAAAACATGGCTGATATATGTTTAGGATCCCTCCAAAGTCATCCCTCTGTCTGTCAACCTTTAGAGTGGCAAAAAGGTTTGGTGAACAAACACGCTCCTCTATGAGGCCAGATGTTAAAGGCCAAGTGTGAACATGCTCAGTTTAAACGTGAAGATAGTGAAATGCATAATCAAAAGGAGTTCTGATGTGACCTACCTCGCAATGGTCTCTATACAGTGTCTGCAGCTTCTTGATGTCATTCATGTTGATGCGCTCAGGCAGAGGCTGAGTGCCCAAATCAGGAGAGGGAAATGGAGGCAACGTATGGGCTGTATCTGCAAAAATGTAGACGGGTGTCACTGATGCATACAACACTTAGACAATGGAACCTTTCTGTATAGCAGGATGATAATCTGCTGTATACCAACACAGAAACACACATCTTATCATTGCTGTGCAAAATATTCTTCTACTGACATCTAAAAGACCTTTTCTACTGTAGGACTCTACTGACCCATAATGGAACTAATATCCCATTTCAAGAATTCTACTTTTGTTTCCACTGCCCTCCACCTGTTTCGGAGGCCAGTTCCTGGAGCTAAGTTTCGGCACCCCTCAGGAGGCAGCACTAAATCATGCAGACTGTGTTGCACTCGTGATTAAGGACCATTGGGCCCTCTGTGTGCAGAGTGCAGCCCCATCCTCATATTAACAGTGACCAACATGGAGAAAAACACAGTGGAAAAGCAAAGCAGAAAGGACCGTATCAGCCAACCTTATGCAGATACAGAAAGCTCCAGGTTACAGCTCAATAAGTTCCCATGGTGGAAAAACACAATTAACCTACTACAACAATATGAAAACCTGAAGTAAAACATGTACAATATGTGATAAATCTTAAAATTTGTTAAACAATCGTGGACACGCAGTTGTGGTGGAAGCCAACCGGCTCCTGCCCTTACCTATGTACAGCTGGTGGTGTTGGCTCTGAGCCGCCACCGACTGTTCTGGAGTGCTGTTACAGTGCTGAGAGCTACCACACAGGCTGTCAGACATCCCATGTACCTTCTGGAGAGGTTTAAACCTATACAGCGAGGACATGTACAAATTTTAGCTGAGTCTTGAAGGACTGGAAAAGCAAGAATAAGAAATAATCTGCCACTGAATGCTGGGAATGCTCAGGTTTTATTTCCAAATAAAACACCACTAACTCACAGGTAAGCACACCTTCTAATAAGACAGGATTCACTAGTGGGTTTCAAAGGAGAGAGAACCTTTGTTTTATAATATTTTTCTGGTTTACTGGCCAAACGTTTTTCCTTTAAGATAATGTGTGTGTGCTTTAGTTTAGTGGCTGTGTTTAGGGCGAAAACCAGCACATATACTGTGAAAGCCTAATGGAGCAGTGATCACCACTGAAGAGTAACTTAAAACCAGGCTGAAAGGCAGTGTTTCACCACCCTCTCAGGTTGACAGTATCAAAATCTGTTTCACCACTAACAAGGTGTGGTCAGAAGTGTTTTTTGTTGTACCTACAGCCACAACCAACAGTGATATTACAGTGTGCTGGCAAACTGTGGAGTACATCACTGCAGTAAGGTAAGAACATAAACCATCGGAGGTCCACAGCAGATTTTCAGGGGTGTTAAGTTACTCATTAAATATACATTTAAACCTCTGTGATCAATGTTCAGAATTACTCAGAGGGCATACAGAAATTAGGGATGCACTGATACAACACCAGTATTGGGTACCAGGTCCAATACCACCCTCTAGTACTTGTACTCGTACCTGCAGAAGTTGTCTAATAGTATGCATCGACACACTTAAAATTAAATATTTAAATGACCCACTGTGATATCATGCGCTCTAAAGTCATTGCACTTTCATGATAATTTGAATTTTTATAGTAGAAACACTGCATTATCATCAAGTATTTGTATCCAATCTCTATTCTGTAACAGCAAGTACTCATATGTAAATACTCATACTTGTACTGAGGCTGAAAAAAGTTGCATCGTTGCATCCCTAACAGAAATGCACATATTTCCCAAAATAGCTGCAACATTCACTGAATAAACTGTTATTATAAAAAAAAGCTCATGACTACATTTTAGTTAAATGTCTTGTTAGGAGATATACAAACATAAGTAAATATGAAAAAAATGAAAAGGGCATGGAAAAGAGTGAAAAGCTTAGTAAGGAAAAGGACAAGAAAAAAAACAACAAGCAAAGGATTGGAGATGAAAGTAAAGCAGCTGTGACAGGGTAAATGTCACCAACAGTAAAATGTGATTTACACACGAACCTCTGAAAAGCTGTGACAAATGTGTAAAACTGGCCAGTCAAGTGTGCTGACCTCTGTTTCTGGTGGACAGGCTGCTGCCTCATGGCCATGTACTGGGTGTCCTCCTGCAGGCGGTTAAGCGGTGAGTCTGGCTTCACACGGATGCCATAGTAATGATACTTAGAGTTGCCTCTGGTAGATTCAGTGAGAGAAAAGCCAGAAGACAGTAAGGAGGAGGAGACTTGCCATCACTGCAATCACTATCATTATCCTCTTCCATCACCAAGTCTCCAGTGCCCATAAGCATCATCATAACAGTAACACGATTACTGTTATCAGCATCTTCCGCATTGGCAACGGCCTCTTCCTGTTTGTACCTGGTGCCAAGGCGACGGGTCCTTAGGCCCATGAAGACTGATCGGATGAGTTTGCCAAAGGAGGCTGCGTTGACCGGATCCAGTTTCTGCTCCTGACAGTGCCGCAAGTAATGGTTATACAGAGAACACCGGGGCAGGCTCACCCCCTCGGCTGTCTCGTAGTTGTCCAGCAGCCACTGCAGCTATAAATACACAGAAGACAACATAGTCAAATAATCAGTGAGCCCCAACAGACAAACTCTGTGACAGTCACCTGGCCATCAAGGAGAGAAGCAATGCATCTTATTATCACATCAAAAGACAGAGAGCACATACCACACACAACATTGAAGAGGACACACATTGTGACTATACAATCAAACAATTTACATTATAAATTTGCAAATCAGATTTTAAACAAATACTTCAAACAATATTCATAGAAATGATGTAGAGCCTATGATAAGACAGCTGGGGATAAGCGCCAGAAGGCAGGGAAAGCCTCTAAACCACAAAGATCTCTATGTGAGCATAAGTCAGGACCTAAAAACTACATGAACCCCATTATAAATGAATAATAGTCTCCCAAAAAAGATGATAATATTAAACTGCAGAAGTCTATGTGCGCATGCCTCGGTGCATTTAAGTGTGAAAATAACAGTAATCATGAAAAATCAATCAGCTTAAATACATGCAGAGTGTTAAGTGCCATTCAAAGGAAAAAGTGACAGAAAATGCAAGAGCAGTTCAAGGATGGAAACTACCGGAGATGATGATGAGCATCAGTGGGACAGTGCAGAGTTAAGTGAAGCTAGCAGTAGGTTGTGTGTTCAACTGAGCAGAGCAGAAGAAGAACACACTGCCTACAGGTTCAGCCACTAATTTCTTTTCAAAGAAAGTCCCTGGTTGACTTACATGGCTGTTGAGCAGGCTGCTTTTGTGACTTGCAATTCCTTCAGACTTTTGGAGGTTTTCAATCGCCATTTCAAGCTAAAGAAAGAAGAAGCATGCATAAACAAATAAAAATAAAAGTGGGCACAGAAGGGGGAGAGGCAAAGAAGTGAGAGACAGAGAAAGAAAAGGGGACAGAAATAAGCAGTGGTATATGGAAAAAAAACACATAAATACAGATAAAGGAAATAAGACTGTTAGTGAGCAGTCAGGTCTTGGTTTAATTTCCATTAAAATTGGTCAGTGTTCCAGCTGAATCCATTACTGGCTGACAAAAGCATGCAAATCATGGGACTCATACGGTTAAGCTGCTCAGTAAAGGCTTGTAGTCAGACTCGCTAATGTATGCAAATAGGAACCACAAACAGGGGTACAGGTCACATCAAGCTTAGAGACAATAGGTCAGCAAAGTCTGACCTCCCCACAGTTTATCGAACAGTGGAACTTAAAAGTAATATATGAAAAACTGAAGCTCCTTTTCCACCACCTGGTACCAGTCAAATGTCAGTCAAATGTTGGGGATAGTACCTGTGCTATTTTTGGTATCACCTCAGTCGAGGTTCCAATCAGCTGAAGCGACACCAAACGGTGACATGTAAACACTGCAGGCTAGTGATTGGTCAGAGAAATCGTGTAACTTACCCTCTTTCTTTGCAGCTGAGTGACCAGAGTCGTCTTGTCATCTGAACCCCAAAGTACTATTTTCCAAACTCTCCTGTTTGAGCAGTCTTTTGTCTTGCTTCTAATACAAAATCTCCTTGCTGTGACAAACAGCCACAAGAATCAAGAACAGCATACCTTCGATGTTCTTTATTGTTACTGTGTTGGTTGTTGATGATGTCATGGCAGTGTAATGCAACATCGCTGTGAGAACTATCTGCAGTGGGAAACATAGCAACTGGTACCAAAAGCAAGTAGAGTCGAGCTGAGTTGAGCCGGTACCAGTGATGAAAAAGGGGCTTTAAAGTCAGAGTAAGTTGTAACTACAACTGCAACAGTGTCATGGTATAAAATACACTGATATATTATTCTGTCTTTGGACAACAACAAAAAATAAATAAATAAATAAAGGAGTCCAACTGACAAGGTTAATGACAAAACCAGGGACATTCCATTGAGCTGTAGAAGAAAATCAACTCAAAAAAGAAAAAATACTGGTAATGCAGCCAAACTAGACATGTATAAGAAAAGGAAAAAGAAATGGCAGCGTTCCAAGCATGAAGAAGGCTCCGAGGGCTCTTGGCCAAATGGTAATGAGCCCCAGGGGTTGCTTTGTTTCGCAGGTCGCTCAAGTGCCTGTGAAAACCTCTGAAACAAGGCAGTGCTTAATTATTTAAGCCAGTGTCCCAGTTCTACAGGCTCTCTGCCCTGTACTGCTCTCTGTGTGTTACCGCGGAGCCAGGAGGCCAAGGCTCAGACTACTGTAAACCCTGCACGTCTCTCAGGCTTGTCCTAGGAGCATGGCTAATCTGGACACAAGCTAGCAGTAGCAGTGATAAGAACACCATAATGGTAATGTTTCAGTAAGCCTTGCTGTATTAAGAGTTAGTAGCAATAAACTATGTACTTTAGATAATAAAAACTATAATTTGGACAATAAGTGCTGTATAAATGGTTAGTCATTCAATCTTTGGCTTGTGTTTAAAGTTAGATTTTTTTAGGGACCTGGTAGCTCATTAATCCAGTTCTAGTAGAAAAAAAGCTTCAGAGCACAACAACTACATCAGCATGTGTGTTCCTCACCATAGCCGAGGAGGAGCGTGATGAGTGTGATATGTGGTTGCGGCTTCCCTCCATGCTTCCTCCATGGATCAGGTAGGTGCTGCCGCTGGAGATGATGTGGCTGCTGCCCACGTCCATGGCAATGCCCACCATGCCATGAGGGGGCACCCCACCACTGGCAGAGGAGACCACTGTGGTGACATGAGCCCCACTGGCCTGCGAGTCAAAGTATGTTCCCCCACTGCTCTGCCCATACAACTGAGCCTCTGGGTTGTAGGAGTAGGCCGCTCGGCTGGGGAAAAGATTATTGTACTTAACATGTAGTGAGATCAGTAAGTGATGATCCTAAACAAAGTACATTTCATTACCACAGCAGCAGTGTCTTAGGGTTTTCACTTCTTTGTGCAAGAGCACAATAATTCTGTTAGTTAATCTGGTTCACACATACAGCAACATAACAGATATATCAAATATTTGGTTATGCTGGAGTCATATCACCGTGGGAAGAAAATCACTGTGGCTTCAGTTAGCTTTCAAAGTTGTGATTAGAGCCAGTGACGGTTAAATGATGAGAACAGTCATCTGGAAGGTTTAATTTATCATCATGTGTTTATACAACAGGGCATTCATATAGAGGTCAGAAAGACTGCATTTGGAATGGAGCCAGATAACTTCAACCTTCTGAACAAAAACATGCTTCACTCTCAAATTAAGGAAATATTAAGGTTATCATATGTATACAAAATCATATAAATGTCAAAACAAAGTTTGTTTAAACTTCATTACTAAAATTTACTGCAAAAATATTTAAGGGATTAGATTACACTTTATTTCATGCATCATATTCTTTTGCTGTATTTTTGAAGTTATGAAACATTGCTTACATAGTTCCATTGGTATAAACAGTCTCGCCGCTTTCTCCTACATATTGGACCTGGGATGGGTAGACCTGTTGCACCTGCTGCACCTACAGAAAGAAGAATTAAAGTGTATCTTACAGATAACAAACCTGCAAGTAAAGAAAAGGTTCACATTTACCAGCTGAAGTGACTCAGACCCAACCAAATTGGATTTTTTCAGATCAGATGTTGTCCGCTTCCATATGTGATCCTAGACCCGATTCATATACAATCTCTCAACATCTGTCAGAATGATCACATCAGATTTCATTGGGTTTTTCTTTTTACATCTCACTCCTCCGCACATGCACAAATTGTCTGTCGTTATCATTTCGTGGTGGCTGCTCTCAGACCAGTTAAAATAAACACAGAAGAGAGCAACGACAGCGACATTTCATTTTTGTTGAACATTTATGGAGAAACATCTGATCGAACATATTGTAACTGAGCAGTTTTTGAGGAAACCCTGTAATTTGACCACTGCACAAATGACATTGTTGTACAGGTAAGGACATCAGTGGCGTTTAAAACAAGCAGGATACACGTCACTTAAAAACATGAATGTGAACCAGCAACACAAAAAAAACACAGAATCAGACAAGAGATTGGAATTGAGCATTAAGGTCTGTAAGGAAAACAACTTTGATTATGCTGTTTTAGCAAAAATTAAAACAAAGGCCAATAAGACTTTAACAATATTTGCTTACTTAGTTAATTAATGTTAATTAAACATCTATGTGTTTACATACAGTGCGGTGGAAAAAAAAAACATCTGTCCACACCCTGGTTTATTTACAATGTGTCCATAACAGTAGCCTCAATACTATCATTTAAAATTTTAAACCATTAACTACTGCCTTTAAGACCTACCTTGGCTTTTGGTGTAGTATTCCTATAATATTTTATTAGGAAAATAAGTATCTTGTATTAAGAAGGGATCGGGAGTAACAGTGATTTTGAACACGCTGAATGGAGAAATACACTGATTAAAATGTACATTTTCCCTGTAATTAAAAAAAATGGTTTAACTGAACTGATATGAACTTGGACATATATGTGGATTTAACAAAAACAAGCTTGATTTGACAAACATCACAACTGGTAATGAATGACGAACTGAGGGCTAGAAATGCTAAAAAGCAGGTCATTAACTGTCCATCTGCTACTAGCTGGCCTTGTGGCATGTGAAACTAAAAGAGTGGCACTGAAGACCAGCTAGCTGCAGAGAGTCAGGTCACTTCCTGGCTTTCACCATTACACTAGACATCACACAGATTTTGCATTGGGACCTGGTTCAAGCACCCAGGAAAATCATTGTGCTTTGCAGCAAGCTCACATTATACTCTGGGATTCAGAGAAGACTTTATGCCACAGACATCATTAGAACAGATACCATTTTCATGTTATTCATGTATGCAGGCAGTGGGCCAGGCTCAGCCAGAGAAAGACAGCCATGAGAGGCACAGGAATTAAGGGTGATGAGTACTATTTGGTGCCATGTTTAGGATTTTCATCCAGTGTTTAATGCAAACATAGTTTGGTTAGAGTTCATCTTGTTTACTATCTGTAAGTCAAAAGCCAAACCAGCAATGCCCCTTATGACTTATCTAACCTGAATGTAAACTCTGACCCCAGTGAGACTTGAAGAGCTCATCAAATATTTGCAAGTTACACAAATAAGCCCTACATAAATAAGTTTGTCAACTCTGGATTCTGTTTTATTTGAATTAACAGAAATAAATTCTGAGATCTTCTTGTACTGCATCTTATTGTGATTTCTTTTGCAATAAGTCTCAATAATTAAATTAGAAAATGTTAAAAAAAAAAATGAAGTGGAATACAGCTATTTTCACAGCACTGTAAATGTATACACAGTACTGTGTACCTGCTGCGGGACCTGTTGAACCCTGGGTACTGAAAGCTGCTGTACTTGTCCTCCCTTCTGAGCTGAGCCTGTGGATTGAACCAGCACCCTCTGTGCAGATACAAGACATAACTCAGTTACATAGATACAGTATGTACCTACAATCACCAACATCACTGTAAACATATGGCAGTCCACACAACAGGTAAACATAACAAATAACTCCCATTGCAATTTAGTGAAGCAAATGCAGAGAAACCTATGTTAATGACATTAAAAATAAATGAAATCTCACATGTTGCTGCAAGTATTTTCCCATACCTAAAGCCAGACCTGCTCAGACCTACAAGCAATGAACAACAGAAATTCTGTGTTCTACAGGGTCTGTTAACACTGCTGTAGTTTTTATAGCCTCAAATAGTTGGACAGTCTCAAAAAATGGATGCACTTCTCTAATAAAGTGGCACTTTTCTTCATAAGAAGTGAGATTCTGTTAAAATATTGTATCGTTTTCTTTTCAGACATGATGTGCAAGCACAAATTCCCAAAGACAGCAAACAGAACTGGTCTGATTTCTAAAAGCACTCTTTCATACTTAGCATGTGGAAAGCAACGCGGTGGAACAGTGAAGTCATTACAGACATTCCCTATTTGTCCTGTCATTACAGCAGTAGCATGGTAGAGGTAGCAGCCTACCTGCTGGGAGGCTGGGACAGGCTGTACCACAGGGGCCTGGGCTGATGATGACGTCCGCAGCGCTGCCACGTTGGTCGTGGTTTCTGACCCTCCCTCGGAGCTCTGCATGCTGGGTTGTGGGGAGAGAGAACGAAGAAAAGACATAAGCATGTGGGAACTGCATACCAGACTAAAGAAATGCAGATAACAATGACTACTTAAATAAAAGAAGCGTATTTCAAGTGTATACACATGGAGAGTTAAATAAATGCCCGTTCACCCTACCCCTTCTGTCTTGGAGCCATCAGAGCATTCACTGTGCCCCAAGGGGGTTTCTAGCTTTGCCAAGTCAAGCTGAGTCACTGCAGCTCTCAGAGCCCCAGAGGCTGCCCACCTTTGGCCTTAATCAATAAGTAAAATAAGCAGCCCAACAGTCTTACACAGATGCTCTGAGTCCTGCTGACGGATCAAACCCAGGTGGAAAAGTTAGAGTACAAGTTAGTGACAGGCTTAAACTTCTTAGTGAGGACCAAACCTACTGCTGCCACTCGCCTTTCGACTGCGTGACAATGTGCACAGCATAGTAAAGGGGAGCTAAAAATGGAGTGGCACAAAGGCTCTCTCTTAAAAAAAAGGGGGGGGGGGGTAAGGCAGAGACACAAGAGAAGAGAAGAACTGTAAGGGTAAGCAGATAAAAAAAAAATAGTGCCCTCTCTCTCTGGAAAAAAAAAAACTGAAGGGGAAAAGATGAAAATGGCAGCGGGGCTCCAGGCCCTGCCGGGGTCCTGATGATATCGTTTGTTTCTAACGAGACCCGTTCTCTGAGGGCTCCAATAATCCAGCTGATATGAGGAAATACCTCAATGCTTTGTAAACGTTTGTCAGTTGCTATGGTGAGGAATCCATGACAACCACCCCTTACTCAACCCCCTCCTCCAAGCCTGTTCAATCCTTTACTACACCCCCCCTTTAAAAAAGCTCTTGCGCATGAACTTTTGAGTGTGAGCGCAAAAGGAAGAGGGGGAGGAGGACTGGAATAAGGGAGAGGGAGGTACAGCACAGTTGGGGGGCGGGTTGAATTGATGAGCAGTCTTTGGTTTAAGGCAGAAATCCAAGAGCAGCAGGAAACGTCAGTAGGTAAGACAGGAAAGCTCTGTACACCAGAGGATGCAAGACACAACCTGTTCCAGTATACATGCTGTGATTAGTCATAACACACAACATGCACTACACTGTTATTTTAATTTACTGGAATAGACCTGATGAACACCACTTAGGCTGCGCTAATCTGCAGGCTGAACTTTCAGATACAAGCAACAGGTGATTGAATGATTAAAGATCTTAAACTTGGGATACTGTAAACTGATTCTTACAGAATGATTTTGTCATGCATTAGCATGCATGGGTCTCTAAATTTCATCAGCAAATGAGAAGACTGCCTTTTACCATGTAACAAAATGAATTCAGATGGGGCAGTAACAAAACCAAATCTAACATGTGGCCTAGAGAAGAAAATTTCTTTGGAGGAAAAACAATAACATGGACAAAATGAGTCAGAGTTAAGGAAACCCTGCTGGCAGTAAAGAGGAAATATATTTAACCAAATCAGTGATCCAACAAAAATGTTGATGACTGAAATAGGAGTTACATCTTCTCTGCACTGAAGGGACTTCTGTTACTGTTCAAAGACATTCAAATACTAAGCGCAATAAAATGACAGTATTTATTACCATATGCAACTCATTTTTATTACAGAGCTACAGAGACGTGTGTTTTTATGCATTTTAAATGTATTTATTTAATTATTGTGATGCACCGATTGGAGCAGCACTCCTAATTGTGTTATTGGCTAAGCTTGCAATGACAGTCTCTTATTCTGATCTCCTTATGAAGACGATTTTCAGAGTTAGACTATGATAAAGGATAACAGTGTCATTTATACCACACCTAAAACACATAATACAACATGATGAAGCACTTACAGACACTACCACAAAATTCCTACCACCCACAACCAAAACGTTCCCACAGGCAAAAGAAAGTTCCAAGTGCAAATGTCTTATTAAAAAATGGTTCCCCTAACGATTGACACATCATGATATCACCTCTGAATCTACAAGTATAATGGCTCTCATTTTATCCAGAATTGAGCAGAATTTTGTTCAAGGCTGCAACACACAACATGCTGACCCTGAGAAGGTGCTTTCACTCTAATTATAGAATCAGTTCTCAATCACAGCTTTCTAAGCCAAGTGATCAAAACACAAGCAAATATAAACGGGCTGTGAAAAGAACAGACTGTTGCACTTGATCTGTAAGAAATCTGAAAGAACTAAAGAAATCAAAGAGATTAGACCTTTAACAGACAGACCGTGCTGAAGATGTTCTACTTGTAGTTGATTTTTTTTTTGTGTCCAACAGCACACAAAGTGTGCTTGCCACAAAAGCAGTTTTGAAACTTGACTGTGAACTCTGTTAAGTTTCACACAACAGCAGTAATCTGGAGAGAAATTTAGGTCTGGGGACAAAAACTGGGCCTATAACAAAGCCAGAGTGTGTACCTTTAATACAGAAAAACAACAGATTTGGGTGTGCCACCACTGACATTTTCCATGTGTGGAGATTTTGCCACCGGCAAACACAGCTCTGCCTACAATGACTAATACAATGAGTGGAGGAGGCCTGTGTTGAAATTCCTGATATGTGTCAATCTTCAAACACACACAGTCCTAAAGAGTGTGAGCAGCCCTCTGAATGTTTATTAGCACGTACATGTAAAGACTTTCATACTTCATAACCATTTTTCTTCACACCTTGTTCTTGTATGTCATCAAGTAGCAAACATCTCTTAACAGAATGTTGCTAACAAGAACTTAACATTTTAAAGCCATTACAATGCTCATCCATCTGGAGTGACAGTTTAGTTATAAATACACTTGTAAGGATCCTGTTATTTAGAGAGGGAAGAAGCAGCCCTGGGGGGTTCTTCATGCCATAAAGGAGTGGGTGGCATGGTAAGATGGTGGGGGGTGAACCAATAGAGAACTGACCTGCACGTTTTCATCCATTAAAGCTTAATTAAAGCACTGGCTTTATTAGGTATGGTGAAGTGTGCCAAATCACTGCGTTGGAGGGGGAGAGAGTGCAGGCAAAGAGGAGTCTTTCTGCTCGGTGTTCAGGGAAGGTTAAAAGCCACACAAATTCCCCACCAGCAGCTCTGAAAGGTACAAAGGTAGAAAACAGCAGGAGATACAGCACACTGCTGCAAAACTGCTCCTCTGGATGGACTGCTGCGCACGCACACACACACACACACACACACACACACACACACACACACACACACACACGTCTGTTTTCATGTCAGTCTGAAGCCTGGTTTTGTTCAGGCAAATCCCAGATGAGCTCTTAACCACATTACAACAGCAGCTCCTCCTATATAGTTACCTGAGTTTTGAAAGCTATACAAAAACAAGAAAAGATACTTTAAAAAAAAAAAAAACCTGATAAACTCTCATTAATGCTATAGTCTATAATGTTAACAATGCAGACAAGATTCAAACGTCTGTAGCTGACAGATCCAACTTAAACGGGGCTCAACGACAGAAAAACACATACAGATGTTCAATTAAAAGCAGGAGCCCACAGTCTTGGCTCATGTTTGCACTGGCCCACATTGTTTGCAGAGCAACAACGGTTGCTAGTGGCAACACCGTCCACTCCCGTTTCCAGGAGCCTGTTGCTATGCAACCAACAGAATACTTCCCAAACCAAACAATGCCATCCCCCCCACCTGATCCCTCTATCTCATGCTAAGTAGAAACTTACAACAATAAATACTATGTAAGCTATTAATTTCAGACACTGGGGACATGGAGGCAGAGTTATGTCTGTGTTGCAGTTACAGAAAAATGCACATAGTTCATACTGGTTATGACTTTACTGAACAGGACAGGAGACAGTGCCGGGGTTTTTTATTACTTGGTGGTCAAGAGAAGGAGGAATGTTTAAAGTCACGATGGAGAAAACAGTCTATTCTTTAAGGTGCTTTACACTCATGCCACCCAAAAACACCACTTCCAAAGGCAGACTGAGTCCTTCCAAAGTTTTCTGAGCAGGGGAGATAGTAAATGCTAAAACAGAGCAAGACTTTTTCTAACTCAGTGGAAGGCAAAACAAAATAAGCAGACACTCATTTTAAAGGCAGTATTTCTCTCTGGCAAGTTTCATACACCTACCAAGAAAAAGCAACAGGTCTCTGATGAGGCTTTACAGTGTGTCATTTGTCACTGGAGGGTTTGAAAACCACATTTGGACTTGCTTTTCTTTGATTTCATTAAAAGGACCTATAAGATCACACAGGCACACGTGCTCCTACAAAGAGCGAATTAAGATATGATAAGAGATTTCCACAACAGAGGCTGTTCTTCAAGCCTGTCTCATTAATTCATGACTAATCCAATCAAAGCAGCTCTTGAGGTCTGCAGATCAGAAAGGGGCCTGTTGGGTGGCGGAGGGGGGGTGGGGGGGGGGGGGGCGAGAGAGAGAGAGAGAGAGAGAGAGAGAGAGAGAGAGAGAGAGCAGAAATAGGAGGCACCGACCACTGTCTCTGATCCAACCATCCCCCTCTCCTACCCAGTTCACCTCCCCACCTCTGGTCATCAGCACAACCTGTCCACTCCGTCACCATGTGCGCTGCAGGCCTGACAGCCACAGAGAGAAAGATCATACCGTTGCCATGGAGATTGCGTGTTTGCCCATGATCTACACTAGCACCTTCCTCCCCCAGCGCCCTACCTCGTCTAACCCTTTCCAGATTTCCACTGCAGCCCACCTCCACCCACTCCAATCCCTCATCCTCAACATTTAACATCTCCAGATAAAGGATGAGGATTAGAAACTGCACAATTTAAGAAGTTAAACTAGAAAACCACTGAGAGAGGGGGATGGAGGTAGGGAGTAGTCACTAAACTAAAAATGTATTTGAAAATGCACTTGTGATGTTTACAGCATTCTCCAAGAAAAACTAATCCCTTGTTCCTTGGGCACACTCTACCATTCCAAGCAATTTAAAGAATATATTAACAAGTTAACTATCAGACAAAAAGAAGATGACTGCATAGCTTCCCA